TTCCACGTCCTCTTCTGAATCCGGCTTGAACCTCTGGAAGTTCTCTATCAATATACTGCTGCAAACGTTTCTGAATTATCTTCAGTAAGAGAGCAGTAAATAGGTTTTATGAAAAGTCAAATCTTAGAAATGTAAAACAGCCTAATGAATGCAGCAATGATTAAAATAATTTAACAACTGCTATCATTTATACTCACATCACAAAAGGTTGTTTTCTATACCCAGGCAAGGCTTAGCTCTGGATGGGGAGCATCGTGTGGTTTGGGCCGAAACAGAATTTTTAGAACTGGTGCATCCATATTCTTCCATCTTTGACAATCACAATTTTGTGTGGAGAAGGGAAAGTACACATTGACTGAGTCACCATGAGTAAGAATGGTACCCATGTGGTGGGAAGTAGCAAGGAATAACCTGCATAATGTATGTAAAGTACCTAGGATAGTGTCTTTCACACAGAAGCACCCTTCTCCTAACACAAAGAGAGATAGTATGGATAAAACTGGGTAACGTGTATATAATATTTTCAGTATAAATGTTTTGTCTAGCAAGAATTTCATGACTGTAAGAAGAGAAATTATGGCCTTAATTATTACGCAGTTAATGTTAAGTCCTTTAAGAAGCCAGCAAATGCAGTGGCATAATCACTGAGTTTTAGAGAACATAACAAAAAAGAGGCTCAGTATCACTTCCTTCACTTAGAATCCTACATGCACAAGCCAGGTTAGAAAACAGATGCCACATAGAAACCAAGAGTCATTAATAAGTCCTATAATTTTGTGCTATAATTTTTCAAACAACAGGCTCTGGAACAGATGAGAAGAAAAAGGAAATATGGGGAAATTTTGCTTTTGAGCTGCAGAAAAGCAGGATGACTTGTTTTGTATTTCACATTCATGTGTAACAAAGTGAAATCCTGTCATATCCCACAAACAATACATTATTTTGTTGGATTCATATATAACTAAAGACAGAGACAAGTAACCATAATATTACAGAATTTAAAAAAAATATTCTTTAGCCATCATCACAAAGAATGTTTCAAAATCTATTTTGAAGTAAAATGCTGTCAGTGATAGGATAATATCCATATGCCTATGAAGAGGACCAGTTAATATTACTATTATTCAAATTTATGTACCAATCACCAAGCCAAAGATGAGGAAATTGAAGATTTTTACCAACTTCTCCAGTCTCAAATTGACTGAACATGCAATCATTATGTTTTAATTATCACTGGCGATTGGAATGCAGAAGTTGGAAACCAAGAAGGATCACCGGTAGCTGGAAAATATGGCCTTGGTAGAAATGACGCCGGAGATCACATGATAGAATTTTGCAAGGCCACCAATTTACTCATTGCAAATACCTTTTATCAACAACACAAATGGCAGCTATACACGTGGACTTCGCCAGACAGAGTACACAGGAATCAGATCAACTACATCTGTGGCAAGAGGTGATGGAGAAGCTCAGTATCTTCAGCCAAAACAAAGCCAGGAGCTGACTGTGGAACAGACCATCAAGTGCTCATATGCAAATTCAAGTTGAAGCTGAATACAATTAAAACAAGTTCACAAGAGCCAAAATACGACCTTGATTATATCCCTCCTGAATTTAGAGACCATCTAAAGAATAGACTTGACGCATTGAACACCAATGACCAAAAACCAGAAGAATTGTGGGATGACATCAGGAACATCATCCATGAAGAAAGCAAAAGATCATTAAAAAGACAAGAAAAGAAGAAAATACCAAAATGGATGTCAGAAAAGATTCTGAAACTTCTCTTTGAATGGAAAGTAGCTAAAGCAAATGGAAGAATGGACTGGATAAAAGAGCTGAACAGAAGATTTCAAAGAGCAGATCAAGAAGACAATGTCAATTACTATAATGAAATGCGCAAAGAGTTGGAGTTTCTCAAGCTGAAAGAACTCAGGAAAAAATTTAAGCCTCAAATTGCATTACTGAAAGATTCCATGGGCAATATGCTGAATGATGCAGGAAACATCAAAAGAAGATAGATGGAATACAGAGCCACTATACCAAAAAGAATTGGTAGATGATCATCCATTGCAGGAGATGGCATATGATCAGGAATTAATGGTATTGTAGGAAGAAGTTGAAGCTGCGCTGAAGGAATTGGTGAAAACAAGGCTCCAAGAACCAACAGAATACCTATTGAGATATTTTCAACAAACCAACGCCATTATGGAGGCACTCATTCAGCTATGCCAAGAGATTTGGAAGACAGCTACCTGGCCAACTGACTGGAAGAGATCCATAGTAGTACCCATTCCAAAGAAAGATGATCCCACAGAATATGGAAATTATTGAACAATATCATTAATTTCACACACAAGTAAAATCTTACTGAAGATAATTCAAAAATGGTTGCAGCAGTATATTGTCAGAGAACTTCCAGAAATGTCAGCTGGATTTAGAAGGGGATGTGGAGCGAAGGAAATTATAGCTGATGCCAGATGGATCTTGGCTCAAAGCAAAGAATATCAGAAAGATGTTTATTTGAGTTTTATTGACTATGTAAAGGCATTCGAGTGTGTGCATCATAACGAATTCTGGATAACGTTGACAGGAATGGGAATTCTAGAACACACTTCATTGTTCTCATGAGGAACCTGTACATTGACCAGGAGGCTGTCATTTGAACAGAACAAGGGGTTACTGCATGGTTTAAAATCAGGAAGGGAGTGTGTCAGGGTTGTATCCTTTCTCTATACTTATTCAATCTATATGCTGAGCAAATAAGCCGAGAAGCTGGACTACATGAAGAAGAACATGGCATCAGGATTGGAGGAAGGCTCATTAATAACCTGAGATAAGCAGACAACACAACTATGCTTGCTGAAAGTGAGGATGACTTGGTGCACTTACTGATGAAGATTACAGACTACAGTCTGCAGGATGGATTACACCTCAATATAAAAAAAACCAAAAATCCTCACAACTGGACTGACAAGCGGCATCATAATAAATGAAGAAAAGACTGAAGTTGTCAAAGACTTCATATTATTTGGTTCTATAATCAATGCCAATGGAGGCAGTAATCAATAACAATCAATGCCAATGGAGGCAGCAGTCAATACATCAAAAGATGTATTGCATTGGGCAATTCTGTTGCAAAAGACCTCTCTCAAGTACTGAAGAGGAAAGATATCTCCTTGAAGACTAAGATGAGCCTAACCCAAGCCATGGTATTTTCAAAGGAGCTCTGGTGGTATAATGCCTAAGACATTTGACTGCTAATCAGAAGGCTGGCAGTTCAAACTCCTCAGAAGGAAGAGTGGGCAATCTACTTCAGTAGTGATAATGCCTTGGAAATCCAAGGAGGGGTTGCTACGAGTCACACCTGACTCGACAGCAGTGAGTTTTTTTTATTCCATTTTTTCACATGCATGTGGGAGCTGGACAATGAATAAGGGAGACCAAAGAAAAGTTGATGCTTTTGAGTTGTGGTGTTGGCAAAGAATGCTGAAAGTACCATGGACTCACAGATCTGTCCTGAAAGAAGTGCTGCTGGAATGTGAGACTTTGTCTCACCTCCTTAGGTCATGTTGTCAGAAAGGACCATTCTCTGGAGAAGGGTGTCATGCTTGGTGAAGTGGAGGGTTAGGGAAAGAGGGGAAGGTCCTCAGTAAGATGGATTGACAAGGTGGTACGGCAAGGGGCTCAGGTTTAGGGATTGTGAGGCTGGCACAGGACCAGGCAGTGTTTTTCATTCTGTTGTACATAAGGTCGCTACGAGTCAGAGACGACTCGACGACACATAACACCCCAGCAACAGCAACTTTGATCTTCAGGCAGTCACCTGAAAAAATGGTATACTTACTTCTCTGATTCAAAATCTTCCTGCTCTTCAAATTTTACAGTGTGCCTTATTAATCTCCGTTGCTTAATGTCAGGTGTTGGATTCCAGAAAACCTCTGAATTATCAGTCTTTTTGTCATTAATAAAAACTTCACTATCCTATATGCAAGGAAATTAAAAGTTAACATAAAGAATTATATTTAGAAAAGGATTAGATGTATAATAATATAAAAATAAAAGAAATGAATCTTTCTGCTACCAAATTACCTGGAGTTAAACATTTCTCTAAAAGAAGTGTAACTCATTCTTTTCCCAAAGCCCCAAATTTCTTGTCATTTTGATAATAATATCCCTTAAAATTAAACTCAACTTAAAAAAAAATTGCCTGAATACATCAAAAGTTCATAAGATTTCACAAGTTACATGTAAATAAATTTTAGACAATTACATACAAAGTCTCAAAAGCCATCCTTTAACTATCAAAGTGGAGCATATAGTATTTGGTGCAGATAGAACGAGATTCTGTTTACTATTTATGTACTTTATATATGGATAGAACAACTTTAAAGAAACATTCCTAGCATTAAAAATTTGAGCATAATCTTAGAAATTTCATTAAAAGAAAAAAAAAACCAGTTATACCTTTTCCTCAAATGACATTCAGATGTAAGTCAGTTAACAAAAATTTTAGAGATTGTATCTGACCTCTTGACTGAGTCTCTAGATCTACTTCCATTTTCTTATCATATTTCTCATTTCCTCAGTATTATCATTATCAGAAAATAGCACATACTCAATGCTCCCAGTGAGGGTGCAGCTAGATAGAATCATAATACTTTTTATTTATTTAAGATCCTCTTTATAAAATTACATATTAAATTAGGTCAGAAGAGAAGTCAACCAAAGCCATTGTTCTCATATACCACTATTCCTTTTCCATGTTTCTCAAGAGGAAACGGAACTCCACACGAACTATGCCTCTTTCCTTCTAAATAAGCAGCAGCATAGTGCCATGGTTAAGAGTACAGACCCTGAAGCTAGAGTGTGTGGGCTGGAATTCTGGCTCCATCATTTACTTCGAGCAATTTTTTTTTTTTTTTAACTTTCTGTGCCTTAGTTTCCCTCTTTATAAAATGGGGATGATGATAATAGTACTCATAGGTTGCACTAAATGAGTTAATATGAGTAGTTTCTGAACAATACAGCACATAACTAAGTGATATGTAAGTATTAAACATTTTAATTGTTTTGAAAAGAAAAAATATCATAGAAAACTTAAGTATTTTAAAATAACATCAATACCAAAGTACTCATTATTAAGCTGAAGCTTCTGTTGAAAAATTATGCTTTTAGCAATGGAATAAGTATGCTTTTAATTTTAAAATGTAATTTTTATTTTGTTTTTCACAGAATAAAATCAGTTTTGAAAAGCTAATATATAAAAATACTTACCCAATGACCTTCCAGAGTAGCGAGGACTTCTTTCCCCAATTTAAGTTTCCCTGATATTTGATTAACACAATCACTACTACCTAGAAATGGCTTTTAAAAAACAAAATGTTAAAAAGGTATTTTAACTTTAATTTATATTTATGTATAATGGAGACAAACAAAAAAAAAAGTAATTTTACAGTTATAGTGCTCATTACATATAGTGCACAAATGATGAAATATAAATCCAAATTCTGTCAGAAATGTTAAGTAAGAGGAAATATAAGTTTGTTTCTGTGGAAAAATAAATAAAAACAGACTATGTATAGTCCTAATAAGTAAGCACACTGAGAAAAACCACATTGACGTAACTGACTCATGTCCTGGGCCTTCTCTATACTGTGCTCTCTCCTGACTCTTAAGATCATGCCCTATCAATGTGGCAATCCAGTAAGCAATAAGATCTCAGTAAATTATTTAACTGATCTACTGAAAGAAAGAGTAACCTTCCTTCTAAACAGAACAACGTAAATGATACCCAACCTAAATAAATAAAAACCTGTCAAAAAATAGAAGAAAGGCATTTTGAATTACTATATTACCTTACTGATGATTCTCCTTAAAGACAAAATTTTGATGCTTCAATCTAATCCTTAAAGGCATCATTTACTCAAGACCTCTTTAGTCATGATTCTAAAGCACTGATTTGCAAAGATTTGCTAAGATTAAAAAGTGGTTTGCTAAAATTAAAAAAATACCAAACAAAAGGCCTTGCATCAAATACTTTAAAGAGATCTTTTTTGTCAGAGCAAAGTTGCTGATCTGCTGGGTATTGACACAGACGCAATTCAAGCAATAAGTACTAAATAGTTCACAGACATTTTTCTCTGAACATAATGTACTGTGTTCCACAGCAACAATTAGCACTATGGAGAGGTCTCAGATTTCTCTTTTTTCGTTCTAAGGCAGGCAGTCTTTTTCAAAGACAGCTTCAAGAATATCCCTGCTCCCACCTGCAGCCCATGTGCTATTTATTCCTCAATAAGACCTTGCCATTCATTATCCCTTCTCCTGGAATCTGGGTAGACTATGACTCTTCAATCAATAAAGGATGGTGGAAGTATACGTGACTTCAAAGGATAGGTCATGAAATGTGTGTGATGCAGCTTTCATCATGCTCACTAGAACACTTAAACTTGGAGCCCTGAGCTACCATGCAAAAAGTTTGACTATCCTGAGGCCACTATGCTGTGTGCAGGTCAGTAGTTTTAGTCTTTGAGTCATCCCAGCCCAAGCACCAGACATGTAAGTGGTGAGTCTTCAAATGATAACCAGCCCCCCAATGTGTTCTCTCCAGGCATTATGCAGCAGAGACAAACCATCCTCAATATGCCCTATTCATATTCCTGACCCAGAGAACCTATGAGGATCATAACATGGTTGTAAAGCTTACAAGTTTTTAGAGAAATTTGTTATGCAGAAATAGTAACTAATAAAACTCTTAAATAAAACTAATAAAACACATCTCAAACTCAATTCATGATTTCTGGTATTTTATAAAGCAATGCTTTCATTTACTGAGAAACTTCAATCAAAACACTTTTTAAATCTCATTTCCTTTTATAATACCAATAGTTTATTATTTAAAATTAAAAGCAAAAATGATAGCTTTGTGTTGATTTGAATTCTAAGGCAGCTGTCTCAAAAGATATTCACCCAGGCTTGCTCCCATTCCTTATATCCTTTACCATACATAAATTCTGTGTTTCTAGTTAGTCCCTAATTAGGAACTAAGTTATGCGCTTTGCTCAATATTAATAGCACGGTTTCCCTTTAATTAGGTGATACCTCCTATCATTGTCTACTAACCTTTAGTTTGAATTCAAGTATTGCACTGTATCCAGTTTTTTGACATGTAATATTGACTGTTCCCCCAAGCTCCAGTGTCATTGTGCCATAAAGAATTCCTAAAGGGGGGAGGGGGAGACAAAGGTTGAAGAGAGAAGGAAACTAGCTACTAACAAGCAGATCTTTGTAATCTAACTCCCTTCCAGGAGATGTTTATAACTCAAAGGCATTCTGTCTCACCAATAAAAATAGGTAATATAAAGTTAGTTCTATAGGATGCTGTGGATGCAAATCAATCAAACAGCTCCCAAAACAGATTTTGTGGTTAAATGTTGGAGAAATTCTGGTTGAACAGGTGGTGTGTATGTGCACTGTTGGATTAAGCTGTTAAGGGAACCTTAATTATGGATAATTATTAATAGTTACTTCTAACTCTGATTAAAAAAGGGTTATAATCTCTTCTTTTTAATGCAATAAAAACACTGCTGTGAAAACATTTTTCCCTATTGCTAGTTGGGTACAGCATGGGTGTCTACACTGCAAATGAATTTATTTATCCCAAATGAATAAAATTTAAAAGTTTATATTCTTACCAATCTGATTCACAATTTCATATATTTCATTTCATGCCTATTTCAAGAACCACACAAGAAGCTCTAAGAATTGTGTAGCTCAAGGCTACAAGTTAGCTATTCTTGTACATAGTATGCAAAGCAACACACTGCCATGGAGTAGGATCTGACTCTTAGTGACCCCTCCTTGGGTTTCCAAAGTGGTATCACTATGGAAGTAAGTTGTCCAATCTTCCTTCCAAGGAGTGGCTGGTGGATTTGAACCACCAGACTTCTGGTTAGCAGTCATTCTGGTTAGCAGTCAAAAATGCCTTAGGCACTATGCCACCAGAGCTCCCATAGTTAATGACAGTTATTATTTGATATTTTATTTGTATTCTAAATAATAGGTTGAAAGCATCATTAAATAACTTTTAAGAAATTGTCAACTGATTATGAGAAAATTTAAAAGGACTTGGAAAACTGAAAAGCACTAAGTTAACATTTAAAAACAGAGGGTACAAAAAGATGGAAATCACTTTTAAGGATTCTGAAATAATGAGCAGTTTCAGTAAATTTCAAAGCCTGCATATTAAGCAAATGAAAAGAAATTCCAACACTGTAAATCAGTATTTTCAGACTAAAGTATATATCATAAAAGTCTATTATGGGTGAACTAATTCAACAAAGAAATATTCAGCATCTAATAGCAATAATCTTAAGTGTAAACTAAGTATATTTTCAAACAAAATACAGGGCAGAATCTATCAATCTCAATATACAACAATTTATGACCATAAAGTATATTTTAAAAGGTTTAAGAAACATCTAATTCAAATAAGGAAACTATTTACCTTTACAATGAGCATATGGCATTGTCATTACATAATCTTCACCTCTATTCAAGAAAGTCAATCGTGCTTCTCCTTCTAATATTGCAGATAATGAGTTTCCTGAAACGAGTATTGTTTATTAAATTTCACAACACAAATTCAACCATTTAAAAAAATGTGTATTTAGGACACCTACTAGACACCTACAGTAGAGTGTCTTAAAGTCTCAATCTCAATGTGCGGAAACATGTATGCATTATCATGTGTCTAAAACACATTTCTATGCTTACTACAAAATGAGTACTGTACTTTTTAAAAAGTTATATGCTTACCTTGTTTTATATGAGGCTCTCAACAAAAATTTTAAGCATCCCATGAAACACTGTTGGGAGCTCTGGTAGCATAGTGCCTAAGGCACTTGACTGCCAACCAGAGGCTGGCAGTTCAAACCCACCAGCCACTCCTTGGAAGGAAGATGGGGCAATCTACTTCCGTAGCGATACTGCCTCAGAAACCCAAGGAGGGGTTGTTAGGAGTCGGGTCCAACTTGACGGCACATAGCAACAACAACAACATAAAACACTGTTTAACTCTATAGCTTACTCTACTCATTTTGAATAAAAATAGTATTTCTCATCTGTAACTTACATTATTTAGTTAAGTCCTAAGCTTCACTTATTATTGAAATAATATAATCAGAAATAATATACATATTTCTCCAAAATACAATCAGTAACAAAATTTCATGGTATTTTCTTCTAGTCTTTCCCCTATATGTATTTTACTCTCCTCTATCTCCAGTTTTAGGAGCTCTGGTGGTGTAGTGCCTAAGACATTTGACTGCTAACTAGAAGGCTGGCAGTTCAAACCCACCAGCCACTCTTCAGAAGGACGGTTGGGCAATTTACTTCCATAGTGATACCACCTGGGAAACCCACTGACAGCAGTGATTTTTTTTTTTTTTTTTTAATCTCCAGTTTTATTTACATATATTCACTCTTCACTTACTGACATGGTTAGGTTCCAAAGATGAGGTCTATGAGGAAAACTGGCATTACCTTTAGTTGCAGTCATTCCCTCTCTTTGGCACCAGCATCCCCCACTCCCATCCCTCACTGGCCCGTCTTGTCTTCAGATGTGTGTGGTGCGGAGGGTCCCCTTTCCCCACAATACCTTCCCCATCATCAAGGACCCTGCAGGGGATGGAGGTGTTGGTGTTGGTGGTCAGGGATTTCCTGCCAACTCGGGGGGAAAAGCAGGGGTTCACTATTATGTGACCACACTCCAGGCTTCTACACAGACCCAGTGCCTCACTCCTCCACCAGCCCTGGAGAAGGGCTTAGGCGTTGGGAAGTTTCTGGGCAAGAAGGCAGGTGAGGCCCAGCTACCTGGGCCAGGCAGAAGCTGAGGAAGTGGCAGAGAGGCCTCTTTGGAAGAGACATCTGAGGTTCCTGCCCAACTCCTGCAGTGCAGTCTACTGCTGCTTCCTTGTGGCCTCACCGCTCTCCTCCCTCATCTCCCATGAACCACCTTCCCAAGCCTGTGCTTGCTGCGGGCCCAGCCCAGCTCTTCTGTCTAATACAAAACCCAGGCAGCCCAGGCAACCTAGATTCCTACTCACAAACCTGACCCTCTTCCTTCTCCTCTTCCCCTGGCTCCTTAAGGTGGAAAAACAGATTTTTTTTTTTTTTTTAAACTATTGTCATAAATGTAAAAATGTCTTGTAACAAGATAGCGGATAAATGAGGAGTAGGTGTATAATTTATACAAAACAAATGTGATATATTTCAAGTGTACAGTTTGATAGTTTTGCTACTGTATACAATTGTATAACCACCACCAAAATCAAGAACATAGAACTTTCCACCATCCAAAAAAGTTGCTAACCTGCAGTTAATCCTTTTCTCCAGCCCCAGGAAAGCACTGGTCTGGTTTCTATGTGGTTTTATAGTCTATTGTGTTTGACTTCTTTCATTCAGCATATCGTTTCTAAGATTCACTCATACTTTTATATCAATTTTTCACTCTTTTTTATTGCTGAGTAGTATTCCATAGTGTGGAAATAATACAAATTATTTATCAATTCATCAGTTGATGATCACTTGGGTTGTGTTCAGTGTTGGGCTATCATGAATAATGTTGTTATGAACATTCATGGGCAAGTCTTTGTGTAGATATATATTTTTTCATTTTTCATGGTAAAATACCTAGGAGTAGAATTTTTGGTATACAATAAATATATATTTGGCTTTGGAAAACAGTTTGCAGTTTCTCGAGTTGTTTTTATTTTCTTTACAAGTAAAGTTGTTGGGGAGGTTTGGTGGTTAAAGAATTTGGCTAACAAAATGTTGGTGGTTTGAACCCACCAACCACTCTCTGTAGGAGAAAGACAGTCTGCTTCTGTAAAGATTCACAGCCTTGGAAACCCTACTGGGCAGTTCTACTCTGTCCTAGAAGGTTGCTGTGAGTCGAAATCTACTCAACAGCAATGGGTTTAGTAAAGTTGTTATACATTTTTTTATTCCTACTAGTATGTTGGTGGTTCAAATTCACCAGCCACTCTGCAGAAGGAAGGCTGAGCAATCTACTCTCAATGGCAGTGAGTTTGGTTTTTGTTTATTTTAATAATACATGAGAATTCCAACCACTCTACATCCTAATGAACACCTGGTATTGTTAATCTTTGATATTTTAGGCATTTAAGATGCATAATGATGCTTCATTGTGGTTTTAATTGACATTTGCCTGATGAGTAATAAAGGAGCTCTGGTGGCATAGTGCCTAAGGCACTTGACTGCTAACCAAAAGGCTGGTAGTTCAAACCCACCAGCCACTCTTCAGAAGGAAGATTGGGCAATCTAGTCCCATAGTGATACTGCCTTGGAAACCCAAGGAGGGGTCACTATGAGTCGGAAATGACTTGATGGCAGTGAGTTTGGTTTGGCTTCTTTTTTCCTTAATGAGTAA